TTAAAAAAAAAAAAAAAAAAAAAGGTTTTACAAATTAAGGGTATAAGATAAATACTCCTACCCCTAGAGAAATTCTAAGTACTGTGTGTTAGGATTTAGAAAACTAAATTACTGCATATCACCTCTGTCATTTTTGTCTTTTAAAAATAGCTTTTCCCTTACTGATAAATGTATAGCATTATCTTAAACAATTCATATGCAAGTCTCTTGCTATCAAATATTTACTGATTAAAACTACATTCTGATGATTTAAAAATTTATATCTACAATTTAATCATCCAGTAGTCGTTTTTAAAAAGTTCACAAGCCCGGCTAGGCGTGGCTCAGCGGTTGAGCATCGACCTAGGATCCAGGAGATCGTGGTTCGATTCCTGGTCAGGGCACATGCCTGGGTTGCGGGCTTAATCCCCAGTCAGGGGCCATGCAGGAGGCAGCCAATCAATGGCTCTCTCATCATTGATGTTTCTATCTCTCTCCTCTCCCTCTACCTTCCTCTCTCTCTGAAATCAATAAAGATATATTTAAAAAATAATAATAATAAAAAAATAAAAGTTCACAGAAGGGATACTATATTTAGCAAATATGATGGCGGAAATTAAAAACCTGAGAGTCACACAAACATTTAATGAAGAGCTGTGAGGCTCAAGCCGGTTTGCGCAATGCTTAGAACGCTGGCCTGTGAACTGAAGGGTCCCAGGTTTGATTCCAGCCAAGGGCATATGCCTCGGTTGCAGGCTTGATCCCTGGTTGGGGCTTGTGCGGGTGACAATCAATCAATGTGTCTCTCTCACATCGATATTTCTCTTTCTCCCCCTTCTACTCTCTGAAAAGCAATGGAAAAAATATTCTCAGGTGAGGATTAAAAAAAAAAAAAAAGCTGCGGGAACCAAGGGATCCTTAAAGAGGAGTTACCTTTGTCAGTCCTGGGTAGAACGTAGGGAAGGAGGTTCTCAAGTGCCTGGTGGGCCCCCAACTTCATAAAACCCATCCTATCCTTCATGATTACTACTCATGCTCCACCACTCTTCCACTTTCCAGATGTGGGCTTATGCTCATCAACTGACAAAAGAATGCTGAGTTATCACTCACGGGAGCTGCCTGCCAAGCAGTCCAGTTTTAGCTGTGTTGCTAGAGTATATATATTTATTTAACAAGTTACTACAATTTTATAAATCAGGATGAAAAAATTTTGAAAAATGAAAGTGTTATTACCAATGATCAGTATAAGTGTCAAATTTAACATGATTAAGGAAAATGTGGAAAAGGGAAAATCAAAGATGGTTCACAAGACTTAGTAGGAGCAACCCATGTGCTTGGGAAAAAAATAAAATATGAAAGAACACCTTTGAGATGCGGGAGAGATACTACTGATGAGGTCTAAAGACAAGGGTAATAGCTAGCTGATCTCATAATTTTTTAAGCTCTCAGAAATGAGCCCTTCCCTTATAATGCAAAGGCCTATGACTGACTTCAGCATATTTAGCATATTTCATAACTATTTGCAGTATCTTACATGCAAAAGAAGGGCCTGTATTAGATCTAGCAATTAGGAAATCACTAATGACCTCAGCAAAAAAAAAAGTTTCATTGGAAAGGCAAGGAGAAGCCATTCTAAAGTAGACGAACAAGTTAGTATCAAGAAGTAGATGTTATGAGAATAGTTTCTTATTTTAAGAATCTCTGTTAAACAGTGAAGTAAAAAAAGAAAAAAAGGGGGGGCAGTAACCTAAAGGAAGTGCATGGTTAAAATAAGACATCTGAGCATGTTTTCAAGATGAACAGAAGGAGCACGTGGAGAGGAAGAGAGTGGGGGGAACCCAGGGGAAGGCTTTCCCTGTGAAGCAGGAAGCAAGGTCCTTCCTTATGTGGGGAAGGTGATGTGGCAGAAGTGTAACCCTAGGCAACTGAGAGGTCAGCTTGCTCAGGCTAAGACTTCGGTATAATTATTTTTGCTGACAGGTAAAGAGCTGGGTTTATTTGGAAAATCTTTTGTTGTTAATCCTCACCTCAGAATATCGTTTCCATTGCTTTTCGGGGGGAGGAGGGAGAGAAACATCGATGTGATCTCACATCGACTGGTTGCCTCCTGCACACCCCCCGACCAGTAATCGAACCCAGGACCCTTAGGTGTGCAGGCTGACACTCTAACCACTCAACCACATTGGCCAGGGCTGGAAAGTCTTCCTAAAGGTAAATGACCTAAAATAGCATTTTAAAGGAGAACATATGATAAGGCAGGCCAGAGGATAATCATTCTATAAATGTGAGTCAGGCCTTGGTCGGGTGGCTCAATTGGTTGGAGCATTACCCCATACACGAAAAGAATGTGGGTTTGATTCCCGGTCAGGGCCCATGCCCAGGCTGCACGTTCGATCCCTGGTGGGGTATGTATGGGAAGGCAACCAATAGATGTTTCTGTCTCATGTTAATGTCTCTCTGTCTCTCTCTCTCTCCCTTCCCCTCTCTCTAAAAGCAATAAGCAGGTCCTTGGGTGAGTATTTTTTTTAAAAAAAGATGAGCCAGCATGCCCCTGTAATAAAAATGGTGGTCCATTCCAGCTTTTCCAGAACACCTGACTTACCCTGAGGCCCCATATAGACTTAAGGGTCTTAAGTATGGGTTCTGAAAGGGACAATTCAGTGATAAGTTGCCCCTTGGTGTTGCACAGGCCACACCACTGATCTCCAGGATACCACGATTATTTTAGAATGGCTTTGGAAGAAGAGTATCTGAAGTATTCAGTGCATACTAGAATATCCTAATTACCCAAGGCAGTATGACTTAAGCCATTCTTAAAACAGGTAAAACCCAGGAATCAACCAACCAATTAAGCTTATTCACCAGCTGAAACACAGGTCATTTTTTAAATATATATGTTTTAAATTTATCTTTAATTATAGTTGATGTACAGTATTATATTAGTTTCAGGTATACAACAGTTATTCAACCTTTATATACCTTACAAAGCAATCACCACAGTAAGTCTAACAACCATCTGTCACCACACACAGTTGTTATATGACCAACCTTATTCTCTAGGCTATACATTACATCCCTGAAAGTCATCTTTAAGTGCCAACAAACCTGAGCTTTCCAAGGTAATATGGGTAATAAAATTTCTTAACATGGTTTGGTTAGTAATGGGTTTATTTATCTTCTATTAAGACCGTCACTTCAGAAATTTTAAAAATCAATTTGTTTAGCTATAAGCAAGTAAGCAAACAAAAAACCCAGCATCCAATTTAAAGAAATTGTGATGACCTGATTTTCAGTTCAGAATATTAACTTAGTAAAAACATTACAGTCACTTCATTTTACCAAGTCATTTAAAAAAAAAATTGCACAGATAACTTTACCAGAACTTAGATCAGGATAAACTAAAGAAGGAGTTGCAGACACTATGGCAATGAGCAAAACCTAGGTAAACAAGTTACAACACTGTCTGTTTTGTGCAGAGGTCAAAGGGTTTTTTCCCTCCCTCCAAGCTATAAGACCAAAATATGTACAAAATGGAAATAAAACTCCAAAAAAGTTAGAGCTGTCACCTGGAGGTTCTGAAAGAGATAAAGAGGAAATACTTCCACCAGGGCAATAATAGCTCCTGTATTTATGATAAACACACACTACACATATATTCACATAGAGACACTACGTCAATTACCCAGAGATAAACAGTAATACTTCAGTTATTCTTACCTACTACTGGGCAGTGTTCTTTCTCCTTTGTGAGCTGTTGGTTTACTGCCTGAAGCAACTGTTGTAACTGTGCTACAGTCTGAATTAGACTTACAGACACTGTCTCCTTCTCAGAAGACTCCTTAAAAAAGGACGGAAGTAGTGAAAAACTCCAAATATAAGAAAAGGGCATTTGCAACCAAAAACAAAATTTTTGCTTTAAATACAACATGGAAAAATCTGGAAAATGGCATGAAAATCAACAATAAAAACCACATAGAGAAAGTGTGTTTGCTACGTAGTGATATAAATTAGTTTACACCAAAAAAAGCTGTCATAAATGATGTCACTGGGCCACAAAGGGAAAAACCTAGAATCTATGAATATCAGATATGAATTTATTTCTCAGCTCAGAAAAAAAAAATTGCAGGGCACCAAAGAAAAGAACATTCATAACAATAAAAATAACAGTAAACATATATTAAGCTCTTCCTGAGTGCTAAGCACTGCTGTGTTACCAACTATTTTAAGTGTTTTATACAGTATCTCATTTATTCCTTTCAACAATCCTACAATATAGGTACTATTCTAAATACCTTTTACAAATGGTGCAACTAAACCACAGAGAGGCTAAGGAATTTTCCCCCCGAAGTCTCATAACTACTAAGTAGCAGGACCAAGAATCTGACACAGACAGTCTAAGAGTCTATACTCTTAAGCAGTATACCACAATACCTCCCAACACAAACTTTAAAATTAACATAGTATCTCACTGAGCTAAAGTGAAAACAAACATTAATAAAAACATTACATTTCAGAGATAGGATATCAGTTAAGAAAGCAGCGTAACTGATGGGAGCACATTACACAAAGGCTTTTTCTTTTTATCCTCACCTGAGGATATGTGTCTTAAGTTGATTTTAGAGAGAGGAA